GTGGGACGGAATGCCCATGCGCCCTAAAAAAGCAAGAATGAACTCACGGGAGAAGAATACATAATATAACGGAAGCAAAATGCCACAAATAAGAAAGAACGGAGGGAAAATTATATGGAGATATATATATATATATATATATATATATATATATATATATACGAAAATAAGCTTTGATCAATGTATATATATATCGATATGGGCATGAGAATAAAAACGATACTTTATTCTTATTCATTGATGCATGTGTATAGATATGGATATATCCCTTCTCTCTCCTACAATTGACAGATCGCTTGATTTCTTGGTTTATTCAATTGCTATTTTATTGGCTGCATATGTATATAGATAGGTATTTAGTTGTCGGTATTAATATCTATTCAGCGCTGTTGATATATATATATATATTGTTACTATTCCTCTTGTCTTCTCAAATAAATACGAAGGCTCACACGCCAGCCACCATCGCAAAGCACGTCCGCCCAACAATCGGAGATGTAAAAGAGAGCCCCGGCACCCGAAGTGGGAGCCGCAGTGGAGGCCGTGAAGCACACACCACCGCTACGCACCCGCCCCGGGGATAGCGCGGTGGCTCGATAATCCGTTGCCGCCAAGAATCAATAAAACAACAAATCACGGAAACAACCAAAAAAATGGACGCTATAAATGAGGAAAGGGAGAAGAGGGCAGCCTGCCAGGAGCAAATACGGCCTGCCGCATCTGCTAGGGGCCTCGTGCCTTCTCGCCGCGCGGAGGTACTGCTGGGGCAGAGACCTTTCCAATTCAAAGTGGAGACACACCAATATTTCCGTGAATCTCGGCTTCCTCACCTCTCCAATGTCCGCTCCATGCTTTTTTCTGGGTGCCTGCAGAGCCGGGCAGCGGAGTAAATGCAGAGCTGCCTCTCCGCACAGCTCCGGTCGGCCGGTTTTCACAATGTCCGGTAGATGCCCGTGGCGTGCCGTGCGGTAGCGGGTCAGTCAGGCATTGCTGTGGCACTGAAGCCCGCATGCTGGACGGCAAAGCTAAACTGGTGTTGATCCCATCGGGCTGTCGTCGCCGAGCAACTTGCGTCTTCTCGGCACCCTGACCCCTCTGCCGTCGTGAAATCGGCGACAGCGTGACGTTCATCAACGCATGTGTGCGTGCCATTTTAGACACACGGTGCACTGTTTCTCGGTGGCATTCTCCTGTGCAGAGGCGGGTTTTCTGTTTGGGTTTGATGTTCTTCATGCGGAGGTTCAAGCCTTGCAGCGCGTGGCTATTTAATCTCCATTTTTTGGTGTCCTGGTTTTCTTGCTGTCGGGTGTTTGTGCCGTGTGTGGGTGGTCAATCCCCCGTCATTCCCCGCCTGCCTGTCACATTAAGGGCACTTACAAAGCGCTTCCTTCGGTGCCGACCGTGGCTCTGTGCTGGAGTGTTCGTGTGCTCGTATGCAGGATAGCGGTCCCGCCTGAGCCTGAGCCCCGAATTCACACAGTACATGCATCCCAACGGTGTGGATGCCGTCAGACCTTCATATTCCTGGCAACGCCCCTTATTTCTCGGGGGAACTCTTGCTTGTGGAAGTGCCGAAGATGAAGTACGATTCCGGGTTGCTTGTCCTACAACGCCATGCGGAAACTGCATGGGGTGGCTTCGGCCTGGGCTGTGCAGTCTGTGGCGGAGGTGCGATCGTTGTGCCGTCTCTCGCTCTCGTCCTCGCTCAAGTGCTGGGCGGTGGCTCTGGTGGGATTTCTGGCGGTTCCGACTCACCGGGAAAGCCGAACTCCCGCAGCGCCTGGGAGAGCGCGTAAAGCCCTGGGCGTTAACCATGTGCGTCACGACACTAGTGCGGCAGCTGCAATGTTTGCCGCACACCGGATAGCCTGCCGGGCGTCGGATCGTGGCGGGGTGGAGTCCAGCGGGAGGAGGAGGCGTTTCCGTGCATATTTCTTTGCGTGTCTGCTGTGCGGCATCCGGGCCGCACCAACGGAATGTGCTCGGGATGGTGGGTTGCAGTGGCCGTGGCAGCCATCCGTATTTGTGCGAAACCCCGCTGCGGAGGCGGGCCAGTGCAGCCTCCTTCCCCACGAGTGAGAGTGGCGTCCGTGCGCGTGGGTTCCCAGTCGCCTGCTGCAGTGGAGCGGTAAGCTTCTGGCTTGAGCTGTCGGGCACGAATAGTACGTTCGGCCAGTGAAAACAATGCCGGTGGTCCATGTGTCAATGAGCTGTGAGAGGTCGGACGCCTCCTTGGCTTATGCATCACAAGCTTCGTTCCTGGGTACGCCGCAGTGGCCAAGGACAAACTGCATCCGTGTGCACGCTCCTCGGCGCTGCGGGCGAGACAAAAGGGTACGTCCACAATGTGAGTCACCAGGTGATCCAGAACCGTCGACATTTGTTCGCGTGCCTCCACGGTTCGACGAGTAGGTGCATAGGCGCACGCTGCCGTGGAAAAAGTCTCGGTAAATATCGTACTCTCCATGCTAACACCACACCCCTCTGTATCTGCTGTGGTGCATGAAATTCGCACGGCCGGAGGGAAATTGGGGAAGAGAAAGAATTCCTCGTGGAGGCTTCCTCGTACCAGCGTGGCCAATCCGCGACGATATCCCTTGCCTGTGGAATGCGGTGCGACAAATAAAAGGCCGCGCTGTAAAGAGATGTGCAAATTGCCTGAAGCGGCCGTTACACTTCCTGCACACACAAAATTGCGGGCCGTAACGGGCAACAAATCCCAATGCCGCGTCATCCAAGGCTCCCACGTTCCACGCGCACACCCGAGGGATCCAGCCATGGCGGCGGTGCGCTTGAAGATTATTGTGGAAACTGACTGGGATGGCTTGGTCCGTCATTTCCGCCGCTAAAGAGACATCGATCACCCTGTGCACTCGCCACGCCACGGCAGCCCGAAATCACAGCAATACGTCGCGCCTCAATACATAATCCCGCTCGAAGACGTTACTGGAAAACTGGAGCCCTGCTCCTACTCTGTCGCCGCTTTGCTTCTGAAAGCTGTAATGCCTCCTGCATGGAAACCCACGGTAAGGCAGGGCTGCAATTCATTACTTCCAATAGGCGGTTCACTGTACCCTTTTCCATTGCACAAAATGAGCGTTGACTTCCTCGCACGCAACTCCATGAAATTACAGTCCGATAAAACACAACACCAGCAGTAACAAGAGCGACAACTCAATCCCCTTCCACACAATCATCGTGGAACGGGAGCAACTCCTGAAAGCACCCGCTCAAAATAAAAAC